GTTCTTTTGACATTGCATTATTTCCTTTAGGAAGAAAATTTGATCTAGATTATTTCTACTTCCCAGGGTCTTGAACTCTGTTCTCTTTTCAGAAGCTGTCAAATTTTGGTAAAGATACCACTTAAAGGAAACAGACTTTCCATTAAAGGTAACAAAAGTATGTTTCAATTCCCTAAATTCCCCTGAAAACGCAAATGCTTTGAATCAGCAATGGAATTAGATATGTCTAAGTATGTTTCTAATAGCTTCCAATAGTCTAGAAAGAAGCAATCCATAGAGCTTCTACGTATGAAGTCTCTTTCTGGAGAAAAGAGAGAATAGTGTGTTCAGAAGTTAGCTTGTGTACTGTGTGTCTTTTATACTCTGTTTCCATTCTCTCTTAGCTTATTTTGATCTGTCTTATTCATTAATTCTGTGTTCTGATGTTTTTCACCCGGTTGTTCAAAACACCTAAAGTTCTTAATATCAAATATTCTATTTTTCAGCTTAAGAAGGTCCATTTGATTAATTTACATAGATTCCAATTCTCTGTTGAAGTTACTCATCTTTTCGTCAATTCTGTGCATCATTTTCTCCACTTCCTTGATCATATTAACCATAGTAATTTTAAAGTCCCTGATAACTGCAATATCTAAATCATCTAAGGGTTTATTGTATTTTTTTCTCTTGAGTTTTGATAATTTTTTCTTCTGTTTTAAAGCATGTCTTCTAATTTTTTATTGAATGCTGACTATTATGGAGACTCTGATATCTTCCTTCAAAGAGAATTAAATTGTTTTCCAAAATTCAGGAAAAAAATATTCTGATAGATCACCTGATCCTGTCTAGCTTGACTTGAAGCTCTGTTGGAGCTTGTGTATTTCATTTTTCCTAGGGTAAGGTCCCTATTCCCAGGGCTTGACAGACAAGGTCCCCCCTGAGAGCTTGAGGTTGTTTACCAATGCCCCTTCACCTTGGAAGCACTGGAATTCCTCTCTCTCTCCCCAGCATTATGTGGCTACAAATATCCCAGATCAGTTATTTAGCCGTTCAGATGTCCTTTTGTGCTAGGTTTCTTGAGGCCTCTGTCCTGCTTATCTGCAGATTAGTAGTTGACAACTGACTTGAACCGAATTCATATGCAGTTGTTCGGGCTACTTTTCTGCAGCTTCCTCCCCTCCAGAAATCTGCCCCTCTAGTCCTAGCCACTTTGACTGCCCCAAGTTCTAATGCTGTTCCCCTCAGTGCAATAATACCACACTTTCGTCTTATACTTCATTCACCTATGCTAGGATTTAGAAAATGCTCTCATAGGAGAAGCCAGGGAGAACTTCAGTTCAGCTAACATGCTTCTCTCTTCTCAAGGACCATAACCCCCTCCCAACTATGTCGGTTGCCCTCCAATGTCTTCAATCTATTACCTTACATATTTCTTCCAGATTTTACAGTCATTTACGGCAGAAAGGTCTGTCCATGAGGAATGACTCCATCATGGAAACTGAAATCTTCAATGCAAACTTTATTACACAGAATGCTTAGAGACTGAGGTAGGCTCTCAGGTAGAAGCAAGCACAGATGCATGGATCATGATACAAACAAGAACGAGATAACCCCCTTACGGCTAGTAGAGCAGTAAACATGGCTTGACATAGTAGAATAAGGTTAAGTAGAGTTCACTTGTATGGTGGCAGCCTACTATGATAGCAAGCAATAGAAATAGACTGATTTACAGTAGCTAACAAAGATGGACCCAATTCAGTACCGAGGTAGCAGACAATCAGGTGAACACTTGTACCAGGGGCCTAGCTGATCCTGAAAATCCTGAACTCTAGTGTGAGCAAGGCTTCAAGAAGGCAAGGAATCCTGAAGCAAGGCCTAGCACACTTGCATGGATCTCTGGTACAATTCATTTTCCCTGCCAAAGGAAGTCTTTTATTTTGTCTTGATCATGGCTAATCAATCAGGCCCAATCATTGAGAGGAACTATTCTAGTTTTAAAGCAATTTTGACTAGTTAAACAGCGACCATGGCCATCAGTAATTATACAAGGAGATATATTTCTATCTGGAGATCTACAACCCATTACTACCCCTTCAGGTTCCACCGTAAGATTAGATAACAAGAAAGACCCCGCCATCCTCAGCGTTTTTCACCTTAATCAGTGACCTACCACCAAACAGAGTTTAGGGGGCCTCCAGCCCATGGGATCAGTGACTCACAACAATATCTAAATTATTTACTTAATTAAAAATCATTTAAAATAAAATAACTTTTTTGCTTCAAAAACAAGTCTAAATAGGGGAGGAGGGTATAGCTCAGTGGTAGAGTGCGTGCTTAACATGCACAAGGTCCTGGGTTCAATTCCCAGAACCCTTATTTTAAAAAAAATTAATATGTAAATAAATAAATAAACCTAATTACCCACCCCCAAAAAATCCACACTTTATTCCTATTTCCTCAGTTTGTATCTAGTGTCTTCTTTTAAAAAGAAAAGTCTAAATAAAAATAAAAAATTAATCAATTATCCTGCCTTTCTACAATATATATTAACCATGAACAGAGCATTATATAATGATTAATATTTAATGTTTAAAGAATCAACAGTTCAACACAATTTTTACTTTCCAGCTAAGCTGCTACAAGAAACATAGTATTTATTTGTGTATCTATCTCATATTCCTCCTATACCTATGAGGGAAAAGATGGAGTTTTCATCAACTTGATATTCCCAGGACTTAGCATGGTGCCTAGTAGACGCTCAGAGCAGGTGATCAACAGATGATTAATGAATTAATCCATTAAACATTGGGATGGATTTGCACTGATCCAAGGACATGCCCATTATGCTGATATCAAGCTAACAGACTTTCTTGTCAGGTATAGCTCTACAATAAAAGTGGAGAAAGGAAGAGAATCTGGATTGTTAAGAGCTCTAAGTTACAGATTCTTTACTAGGAAGGATACAGGGTACAATCAAAAGAGCAGACAAGGTGAAGGTATTTATTCAAGAACTGGCTTTAGCGCTGTCTGTCCGAAGTGTGTCTTTGAACAAGGCGCACATTGCCTCGGGGATGAGTTCCCTCCCCATTACAGGAGAGGTCTGCAGATGGGCTTTGCAGAGCCTGGGTTCTGCAGGACTGGTGAGCCCAGTTCCAAACCCCTCTCTTGTAAAGACCACAGCTGCTCCTCTTGGTTTCTATAGATTACATTTGTGCAAGTAGGTTCATGGCTAGAAGTTCAAAAATCATAACACTACATGATCCCGAAGATTTTTTTTCCAACTTTACTAATTCTAGATATATATATATATATATATACGTACATATATATGTACGTATATATATATATGTATATATATGTATATATGTATATATATATATATGTCTAACTAGATGAGAGGGAAAAAAGCAGCTGTCAACTTCTATAATCAGAACCAAAAATGAAACTACTATTTTTATGGTGCTTACTTCTGGCAGATTTTCTAAGACAAATTCCCAAGACTTTCATAATTTTTAAACTCACATACTAAATGAACACTTAATGCCTTAAATCCATTTACACAGCATTCATCACAATACTGATATTCTGAGAACTAATGCCACAGCTGAAGGGACTTCTTAGTCTATTTCACATATTTTTTTTTAGAACAAAGCCTGAGTTTCAAAGCCAGATAATTTAATTTAGTAAGCTGCTAATTAACCTTGTGTATGAAGTTTTTACTAATTGAAAACATTATTCTCCTGTTTTTCATTTAATGGCCTCTCCCATGAATTAACTATGCTTGTGAGAGAGATCACTGGAGTACTTAAGAAGCCCTTTTTCCAGAAAGTGAATTTCCCCTCGATCTTTAATTTTTTTTAAGTATTTTAATTTGGGATAGTAAATCTTTCCTCTTCCTTGATAATATTAATTATTAAAGTAAATAGAATATTATCTAACACTTGGGGGGAATTACTATAGACATCAACGCTATTATAAACACTTTAAATAAACTATATATACCTCATTGAATTCTCACAACAACCTCCAAAAGTAGGTTTTGCCGTGCTTTCCATTTTCCAAAGGGGCAGCTGAGACACAAGTTCTTACACAGTGAGGGGCGGAACCAACCTCGCCCAAGCGCCTGACTCCTGAGCCCAACTTTGGAGCCACCGCACCGCACTGGTGCACATCAGTATCCCCTGCAGGACATTAACATCTAGGGAATGAAATAAACCAGGATGCTGAACATTACTAAAGACGACAGCCTTACTCTTTTCCACTTATTTTTATTTTCCTCAGAATGTATTTCTCCATAGTAAATTAAGTAAGACGGAATGAAGTAATGAGAAAGAAAAAAAAGCAGTGGAGATGGAACTGAAGTCAGCAAACCTGCCCTTAACATCATTCTGCCACTAACTGGCTATGCAGCTTTGGACAAGTCTTAAAATATATATTCCAAGCCTTAAGGAAAAAAAAAATCTCTATAATGTTACCTCCATAAAATTCATGAGAGTTTTAGGGAGTTATGTCAACAGTATTATGAATCACCAGAACATATGTGACAATTATTATTATTAAAGGAATAACTACAAGTAACTGTCATGCTTCTCTAATACAATCCTAAACTGAACTTTGAAAAAAAAAAACTATTCTAAGACATTTTAAGAATGGTTTCCCTTGTTTCATGGGATGTGTTGTATAGATAAGAGTAAAACTGCCAGTATTTCCGGTATGATTCTTCTTCACTACTCTGCAACTTCCTGAAGAAGAAGCATGTTACATAAACACTAAGAGGCCACAGTTAGAAGATTAGGTACTTAGCAAACACTGTCTCAGGTTTATTCATCTTATAGGACAGATGCCTTGCCTTTTGTTTTCAAGAAAAAAGAAACTGAAATTGAAAGCACATATTTTTTTCCTATATTCATCTCAAATAAAAATCTAGTCTACAAGTGTAAATACTAAATAGTAAGGTTTGGTCCGTAGGTGATCATATGTTCAAATTTCCACAGGGATTGTTCCTTTCTCTCATACCTTACCTTTTTCATAGCAGGAAGTCAGGCTCTGTCAGTCACTTCATCCCGTTACCTGCAACCAAACGACATGGTGTTATTTTCACAAGCTAAAAAGAAAACTCCTATTACTAAATTTGCTAGTTGTATGTTCAAAGTCAAAATTATATTTCCCTTCTATTAAGGATTTGCCCATTTAAAATACCTGCTAACATCTATATATATATAACTTTTATAACCATTTAGGTCAACTGAGCTTTAACAAGTCAACCCAGTAAAATGTGTAAGTTAAAATACTTTTAACTTCCTTCTTTGGGGGTAGGGGGTGGAAGTAGAAATTTGATCTCACTCTGTATTTGTTTTTCTATTTTTGGTCAAACATATGCATCGAGAATTAGTCCACAAATTAAATGGGTATAAAATTAAAGGAAGAACCACCAATTTTAGTGAATTTTCAATTTGGTTGACTTCTCACTTAATGTCCTAGGTCTCTTTTTTTTTAAATACATTCATATAACACTGACTCTGTATTGATTTACCCATTCATCTTCTAATTCAATTGTTGTTCCTCTTGACTGACTGATAATAATGATCACCCACCTTCACAGCATTCAGACTTTCTACTTTGTAATGCTCTCAATGAAAATGACTTCATCACTTTCATCCATATGTAAACACAACACATAAAAGACAAGCTACTGACCTAAATAATCCTGAAGAATCTAAGAAGAGGTATAGTTTAGAATATATGCTTATGCATAACTCCTGACACTACTTCACGGTGAAGGGAGGAGAAATCTGACAAGGTTGGCTTATTGGGTCTGAAATGTTCTACTTTAATATCCAGCCATTTTCCACTCTTTGTGATTATCTGCGAGAATTCCAGTTCTGTAGAGTAGGAAACAGTTCCACACGTTAGCTATTGAAAAGGACTGCTCCATCTCCACGCCTTTGGGATGCCAGCTGACTCAAGAGTAGCTGGATCCAACCAAGCTAAATTCAATTCAAGTAAACTCATATTTACTAACATGCAAAGTACCCTGCAAGGGGCATGAAGAAAATTAAGACACGCACAAGCTGGCCTAAGGCATTTCTAGGGGGAAATAATACATTTCAGCAAGTCTCCTCATGAGACAAAAATCCTAGTGCTAAGCCTTCCCTCTCATTTTGCATTTGTTTTAACTTAATCTTCCAAATAGGGTTCTGAGGACAGAATGACATCATTGCCTTCACCCAGTCCAAGACACGTGAATTGTTTCTAGCCTCCAAATGTGTAAAGGCACATGTCCCATTATAAACTAAATACCTATGTTTACCTTTTA